TGTGTGTGTGTGTGTGTGTGTGTGTGTGTGTGTGTGTGTGTGTGTGTGTGTGTGTGTGTGTGTGTGTGTGTGTGTGTGTGTGTGTGTGTGTGTGTGTGTGTGTGGAGGGGAGGGATTAATTGGTTTATGGGTATGTCCACACTGGATTTATTTTGGATCATAGGGGAACTAGTTCATAGTCAGTTCATGATGATTTCTACACTGGTTGCAGTGACATTTGAGTGATGAAGGGGAGGAGGAGGGGGGGGTACTTGATTAGAAATCTTAAGTGAATTGTAGCTGATACTTAATGCACCTGGTTTGGTATGTCATCACCAAAATACGAATGCAAAATATATAGTCAAAAAAGTACACATTTTTCTCGGAAAAAGTGCTCGATATGTGAAGTAATGGAGTCTGGAGATCTAAACCAGTGAGACACATCCAAAGAGAAATCGTGTATGTGTACTGTAGCGTGTGAACTAATCCCAAGAGGTATGATCACGCAGAGGTAGGGGGAGGGGCCAGAAAAGTGGTGTTTTGAAGGCAGGTAACAGTTCACATAGTAATTATCTTCCACTTACTGTGATAGAGAGGCTGCTCCCAGTCTAATGTCAACCATATCAGTTAAGGAGGACAGAGCCATTGTAGGTAAATAAAGTAACAAGTTTGAAGAAGTTCTATAGGGTAAGCACAGGTTAATGTATATAGATCATAAAATTTTTATTGGAAGGTGATCACTGATGAGAAAAGGAAGTATCTGCACGTTTAACTGTCTGTTGATTGTCACCTCATTAAGTGGTGATATCTTCTTGTGTACTAGGATGCAGTATCCACTGGCAAGGTTGTCATACATTGCAGTTGTATTGTGAAGGAACATACGGCTTTTGCTGCAAGAAGAAAAGGGTTATTTTAATAACCATGGGCAGCAAGGCTGTCAGCTAAAGGTGCAGCTTGATGCCATTGGTTTAATTGTAAATATGTAAAGTGAGGGTGGGAGGGATTTCATCTCCTTGGGAGAAGAGCTGCTGTAAGGTACTTTTTAACTTGTGATGTTCATACAAATGAGACAAGACCTTGACGGCGAGGTAATACTGAGGATGTTTTATTGAAGGAATAATTATTTTAAGTAGGTCACCTGTCCAGGGCATCTCACCTTAAACTGGTTAGCCAGCCTGGTATAATCTTCAAAAGCAAACAAAGTTTTATAGGGCTTTTGGTTAGTACTTGGGATAAGTCTGATGCAGTCTTACTAAGAAAATAAGTGGATTTTGATATAATAGTGTCATAGTTGTCTACCTTTGTGGTATTGTTTTGTATAAATTGACAGTGAGACTCCATTCACATGAAAAATCTATTTTCTAAAAATCTATTTTCTATTTGCGGTATCTTGTGATCACTCCGAGCGCAGCCGAGAATTAATTACAGCTTTGGAAGTAACTGGCTCGCGCTGCCAGTAATTACGCCGTGGGTATTCAGGGCACAGACCCTGATCACAAGATACCGCGAATAGAAAATAGATTTTTAGAAATTAGTTTTGGCATGTGAACGGTCCCTGACTTTACTCTGAGGTGCCGTACCAGAGATAAAAAAATGTGGCCAATATCTTTGACTGTTATAATGCAAAATAAGTTATCTAACACAAGGTAGTTATATTCCCTCTGGGATACTCTTCTCCAACTTGTGCCCGACATTTTGTCCAGGTGTGTAGTTTTGGGCTATAATGGCCATATTTGACAAAGCAGACCAAGTTGATTGCTGTTAACATTTGTATGACATTCAACATTAAGATGGAACATGCCTAATGGTACAGGTGGAAGATGGAGAGATATCTTGGTATGACAGTTGACACCCAGAAGACGACTTGATTGCACTGGTGAAAGGTACTTGTGACAATACTTGTATTACATGTCTTAGTGAGGCGATCCACTGTTGATGTGATGGGAATGTCAATGTGAATATTACGTGTGACACTATGGTGATGAATTGCTGCTACACAAGCAACATAATTATGTAAGACTTTTGTCGAGATAAATGAAAGAAAAAATACACACAAGGATCTGGACCAATTTCACTGTTGTAGTAACCTAGAACTAACCAACTATAAATCACACAGGGATATAATATAGACTGCGTATCCTCTTGTCCTTACCACAAAAGAGCATTGAGAAGAGTGACACACTTGTTTTGCTCCCACTTTGGTTGCAATGGAAGAACATAATTGGATATTTTTGACCCAATTATCCCATCACTTAACTCCCAGGGTCTTGAGGTTTTTGGCAAAGGGGTCCTTTTGTTGGCTTTTATAGGAGTTGCCAGTGTTGGGCCAGATTTGCAGGCAGTTATATAGTATCAGTGTTTCTCCGAGAAGATGCGGCTCACATGTCATATTTGACTCATCATCTTTTGTTGACAAATATTTGTGTATTCAGATAGCAAAGCTAGGGGGAGCTATCATAGGTGGAACCAGGGAGGTAGGTTTTAAAGAAAGAGAAGATTTAGTAGTCCTGTAGTGTGTATGTGAGCAATTTTACAGAATAGAGAAGTGGTATTCAGTTTCATACTCCATGGATTTAAGGCAGATTGAGCCCCCCCCCCAATCCCCTTAAAAAAGATGTAATGCCAAAGCTGCAGCATGAAGTCAACTGTTATCAGTCAAATTTGATTGTATGACCACACGCTGTAGTTCAAATAGACTTGTTTTGATGATGTGAGAAAGAAGCACAAAAATTACAACCCATTAGACTATTTTGCCTTCAAAAGTACATGGGGGCATCCAGCATCACCAATCAACAAAACCAGGCCACTAAATTGGGACTCACCATGGAACTTCATTCAAGTGATAAAGAGAAGGATAGGGGTTGAGTCGTTGACTCTCGATTTGGGTCGTGAAACTTTCAGTCCGATTTCTCATTTTCCCAGCTGGACTGGTGTGTCAATTTCTTGTGAGA